CTCATTCCACTGTTTGCACATGTCATCCATTTCGTCTGTGCCTCAATTCTGTTCTTATTTGGCTTAGAAGCAATAATTAGGCACAACAGCGACAATGGTGCAGAAAACTGCTATACTTTCCACAGTTGGATTGGAATTGCAATTTTCATAACTTTCTGCGGACAGGTTATTAGCAATTTTTTTCTTTTTCAATTCAAAATGCTAGTCTAAAAAACTATAAAATTAAAGACTAACTGATTTAAGAAAACAAAACAAGATCAAATCTTCTAACTTTGTTTAGAAAAAAGTATATACTTAAGATATAGTTAAAATTTACAGGTTCTTGTCAAAATATAGTTAAGATTTACAGATTGTTGTCGGATTGCTGAGAGTTTTCTGCCGCACTGGTGAGCTTGGCAGTATTTTGCGAGAAACTTTTGGTCCTGTACATAAATTTCTGGGAATCTGGCTTTTTAATGTATGCATTTTGGAAGCTTTAATAGGCCACGTGGAATTGGTTTACTCAATCGATAATCTTAAAAGGTATGGCTGTTATAAAAATTGCAAAAAAATACTTTTGGGAAATATGCACAGTAAAAATAAGCAGCAAAAGTGATACGCAATAAGAAATACACAAGCTTAGCTAATTTAAGCATTTTTGTAAATACTGCATTGAAAAAATTAGTTAGAAGATATGATTCCGCAAAAATTAGAAAAAAGACAACTTAGGAAAATACAGTAAAAAACACTAGTAGATGCAGAAATTCATTTCATTTCTTGGGTCCCCAATGTTCTCATCAGTTAACTTTTCCCGCTCTTGCTTGCATGATACATTAAAGATGCCAACTTCTCGGATGTTACCTTGAAGTCAGTTGGAGAAATGAGAAACCATTAGAGCAAAACTGCAGAAACCCCGTCTTCACCTAAGTTACAAAAGTAATTTCATATCTAAGTCTCTTAAACTTACGTAACAAAACTTGTTAGTTATTTGCCATACCATTCAGTAAGCTCATCTTTTCCTACCGTAACTCCCCTATGGCCACCTCGCTAACGGCTCAAACCGAAAATTCTCAAAGCACATTTTCTTGCTGCTTTAACTGTGTTCTTGTGTCCCTTACAATGGAGGAGTTTCATAACTTAGCTCTGCAAAACCAAGAAGTCGAACCTGAACTAGAACAACTTATTAGATTTAAAACAAATGTATGAATTAACTCCTGCGCCTGCCAATGTACATCAGGCACAGAAGGTAAATTCTTTGGTTCCTGAAGGTGTTTTACCACTTCTTTTAAAATAAGAGAGTTAAGAGCAAAACAACGGTACTATTACTCAAAAAAATGAAATTAAAGAGCAAAATAAAGAAAAAATATACCTAAATTATTACCAAACGTGGTAAAAAAGATCTATACAAATTAGACATGATTTTCAAAGCACAATGGCATAATATATGAACTCTGTAACTATAGCACTCATCACTATTGAAAAGATAACTCTATAAGAAAACAATCTTATTTAATTAATTCTGAAGCCCTTATCACCCTGAATACTGGCAAAACCCGTCTTACGTGATGCAGCAATCTTTATATTTTTTTTTTGACGAAACGCTAGATGTTTCAATAGCCAAAAGACATCTACAAACACTGAGAATTTCGGATGTATATGTGAAGTGAAGAAAAATAATGGAACAAAATTAAAGGAAAATTTTTCCCAGAGTAGCTGCTGATCTCTGCCAGGGTCTCATTTTCTGCAGCTTCTTTTCATGGTTTCAGACAGATGCAGATGAAATTCCTTTCTCTCAACTATAAAGGACTCTTGACTGATAATCACAAAAGCAGTCAAGAAACTTTTAGCAGCACTTTCAACAGTGTAATGGAACTTTTAAACTCCATCTGAGCGAACATCACTATAAAGAGGAGACTTCCTGGATTACGACAATGAAATGTCCGATCAGCAGAAACAATGGAGACAGAGCACACTACATTAGTTATTGTCGTATTTAATCAAAATATCCTCAAGGTTTAAGTATCCCTGCAGATATTTACCACTCAATCTCTTGATCATCATCGCGAATGTTAGATCTTTTTCCCTTTTAAACAAACAACTCTAAGTGAGATTGAAACACCTAACATTCAAAAAATTATTGCTTTTTGGAGAACCGTTATTGTTTTACATGGCAGTCAACACTCTTCTTTCAAAAGCGACAAGTTCCACACAGGGCAACAGGAGAATTAATTTGTGTTTTAAAAGGCTATATCACCATTTATCAGACTCTACAATTTAGTAAAGCGCAACATAGTCGTTTGCGCCGGTGCAACCTGTGCTGCCCACTCCCGAAAGAACTTTGTTGCTTTTACCTTCACTTTTCACTTCGCATTTTCAGCTCTACTTCACTCACCTGCTACGATTGCGGGAATATTCAACTGTATCTTTAAATTTTAAGGATCTAGAGTTAAAATACGTCAACTCCGCTTGTAAGGATTCGGAGATTCACATGCGAAGGTGTACTGTTGTTGAAATGGTTTCCTTTAGTAGCTCCAGTTTTGAAAATCTAGATGAATAAAACTGTATATCTATTTTCGACCATCCCAGAAAAGCCTAATTAAGTTTAATTTGTTAAAAACACATAAAAAACCTCTTTCCCCACTCCTTGAGATTCTGCCAAACAAGTTTCCTGACAAAAACCGTCAAGAACGACCTCCCTGTAAAAAATGCTTACCGGACAAATCCCCTCTATGACATATTTTGACACTTTTCTTTTTTGATTTTACTCCATTGTTGCTAAAATGATACATAACTGTTACTCTAGGCCACTTCATAAAGCCCATTTCTGTGAAAATCTACAAATTCTGAAACCCCACGTTAAAACTAGACCTCAAAAAGCTCAAAAGGTGATCAATGTCTTTCTTAAAAATAAAGGGAAAGGTCTAATAAAAAAGCACCTTTGGGCGGCCGGCACCACAGACTGCACTGACACCGACTCTAAAAATTTTTAAGAAGTGTGGTGTAAATTTTTTACAGCGGAAGAAAGCAAAAAATGCTTAGGGAAGTTCCGGTTATCTTGTCCGGCAGAATCATTCTATTTGTTACGCTCACTGAAGCATGTACTTCTTGTCCTTACCACCTTCCCGAAGTGTTATAGATTAAAAAAAAAAACAACTTACGAAACTGGATGCGAAAGGCACCACTTAAAACAAGCCTCACAGAGTTGTAACCTTAGGAACTCCAGAAACACTGAAGATAATATAACTACTTTACTTAATCATGAAGCCTGCGCTAAAAATCAAAACCGTACCTGTGTATACCAAACGGTAGAGTGCAGCAACCACTGCTCAAGATCTAACCAGCAGAAGACTAAAACGTTTTCGCCAAAATCTAAAGCAACAATTGTCATTAAGTAGGAGTTCAAAGAAAAAACTGACTATGCCTTCAGCAGTGACGTATAGTCCGTAACAAGAAACCAAACTGATGAAGGGAACCCTAAGAGCAGAATTCAACGCTTTCATCAATAAGAACGTATAAGAAAAAATAGGTACGCAGTTTAACAATTCTCATCAACAGCTTGTGCATTTACTAGGGGAATTAGGTTTAATTGATGTAACACAGAACCTCTCCGGTTCCTAAATGTTACCCATATACATTTTCAAAATAGTTTTTTTAGCGATTACCAGGAACTACCGAGAAAATATGTACTACTTAATGTTACGACAATACTAATCATACTTTACGCTACATCTGTAAACTTCTTCGTGCTGGAACGTCGATGGCGGTTACCGGCAGAGCGGGAACATTAAACTGCGGAATGCTACCTTACCGTGATCCTATAAGGATCGACCATATGAATCGTATTTATTTATAATTGAATTCTACATAATAAAAGTTTTTTACAGTTACACACGATGCGATCAATGTGTTCTGTCTAATAAGTCCTATGTGACACTTTCGGCAACAAATTTTACGATCCTAGAATTGAAAAAACATGGCTTCCTTAAGCGGAAAGAAAATTAGTTGATCTAAAAAATTGTGCAATTGAAGTAATGCCAGTTCAAACGAGTGTCACATAGCCAAAATCATGACAATATGATTAAATTAGTGAAACATTAGTGGCAAAAATTGTACAGTCGGGTAAGGAAAAAGGACTTAAAGCAAAGTATTAAAGTAAGTAGACGACTATGACGTATAATTGACAAAATTAAAACTTCAAGATCTTGTGAGCAAATATATTACAATTCATTGTACAAAGTTTTGTTCCCTTGTAAGTTTATTGTGTAAATGGAGAGCAAACAGACCTGGTACACAAAAACCAAATAAGTGTTATAAATTCCGCGGTCAAACCAGAACTTGTAACAAAATATAATGCAAAAATCGAAACAGCGATAAATAAACAATAATGAGAGGTGATAAAACGAAAAACAATATAAGTAACAGGAAGCATTCTAAACGAGAAAACGAATTCCATTACAATATGTCAAGAATTAGCACCAGTAATTAAGTAAAATAACTCGTCTGTATTATTATGGTACCCGAACTACAGGGTAAATTCTGTTTAGGTTTATAGTGTATGTACTACTTAATCCAAAATGCAGGACCTCAGGACACACGAAAATTAAAAAAGACTGTTACCTCTAATCTAGAAGGCAATCGTTTCTAGGAACAACTCAAAAAAACGTTTTGGAAAATTCACGCAAGAACTAGTTTACAAAATATTTATGAATTCTAAATTTTATACATATTTCTAATACTATACCAGACTTCAGTCCTAATGGTTATGTTGAAAGTACCCAAAGCATTATTACGTATTCTATATACCTGTATTTTATT